TTTTTCTGAAAATTCAAGTTGATTCGCTCAGTGAAAACATAATTCAGTTTTTTTAGCATATTGGCTTTTGGACATTTTCACAACAAACGTAAGGCATATGTTTGGGATCTTAAAAGCTTTAATTATTTAATAAAATGCCTTTCATAGCTGCACTTAATCCTCTTAATTTTTCTATACCATAGTTTTTCTACGGCTTTTCTTCAGGAAAATATCAACATGATTATAAATGTTTTGCCCAAAATCAACTAAAATAATTATCTTAATTATTTAATATCCTTTAAAGACCTTTCCTGCTGCATTTAGGCGTTATTTTCTAAATGTATTCCTTATTTCTCTTACATTTCGTGGTTATTTAAATTTAGTATAGCTACTGCATAATATAAATTAAAGAGTGAAAAATAAGAATGATTCCATATTTTTCGTTCTTTTGTTCAAAAATGGAGGAAGACTTCCAAATCTAGTTTCTTCTATTTCACTCCGAATAGCAAATTATCTAGTATTTTGAAAGATTTTCTTTCACATTTATCATTGGACAACATGTGGTATGGTCTATGTGCTTCCATTTAACATTTTCATGTTTTAATATTTAAATTATTTTGTTTTAAATTATATCAGTTGCTACAGACATTGCCATTTCCCTCGAAAAATCGTTCATACTTTTTCTTTTCACCCCTATATTTGCTGGCAAATTTTAAACAATTTTAAGCAACTCATACATTTTATTATTTTTGGTGCTATACAAAGGTAAATCCTTTGTATGGTTTTTGAGATATTTAGTTAACTTCTTTTTTTAAAGTATTCATTTTTCTAAAGCAAGTTCTTTGAAATTTGTAACAAATGTATTCTGTTTATAGTGACTAATCAGAGACCAAAAATAATTTTATTCAAATTCCCTTTTTCACTTTATTGTCGATTTCCATATTTTTCCGTTACATTTACTTTCATATAAAAATCTACTCCTTACAGACTTTTAGTATGTTCTATGGTCCTGTAATACACCGATTCGGACAGGTTTTTAAAAATTAAAACGTTAAATAATGCAAACTGTAAATGTACAAAATTCGTTTTGTTGCGAGAATGCAACAAAACGAATTGTGTACGGTTCAGGTTGTCGGTACTCTTAATTTTCCTGAACGGTAAAGACAAGCGAGAGAACTCTGTGTAGAATATGTTGAGAGGTTTGTTTATTAATTGGATTAATATTTTTAGTTGTCATATTTAATAATTAAATATTTTCCCCAAAGCACATACAGCCCAAATGAAAAGGCAAACTTATATTCATTCTTTAATTAGATTACATATTACGGTTTCATAGTATTTAAGGCATAATCAACACTGCGTATGGAATTTTTTTTGATAAATAAAGTTTGCTTATGTAAAGAACATGTATCCTTTCTGTGACATCAATGTTTCAACGGTTCACAATACCTTTTCTCCTGTAATGTTCGGAGAACAGTCTCGCGTTCTGGGTATCGTTTGGTTTCCGACGCACGAACTATTCTTCAACTGAAGATGAATTCGCGCTTTTAGGCAGGTTCGTTCAAAAATAGCTCGGCGCAAACTTCAAGCTAAAGTTTACGGTTTAAAATAATGCGGCTGCAACTTTCTATCTTCCGTCATGGATATTATGACAAGTGAAGAAAAGTTGTTTATGCGTAACGCAGTGAAAAAAAAATCACGTGGCCGGCAGCTCCCGTGTTTACTTTCTTGTGATGTATATATTCTTTCTTGAGTGACTGTGAAGTTATCCACCATCTTCCGATAATACACATATTTCAGCATGTTTACATAGCCGCAATTTTCTTCAGTTCTCAAAATTAAAAATTCATTCATTGTGCTGAAATTGGCGACGCTAAACCGAGATTATTGAATTTTATTTAATGTAATTTGCGAAGAATACTTATTACTTCTTTGTACGAAGTAAAGGAATATTGTAATGATGAAAAATTCCGGGTACCATATTTCAACGAGAATATCTATTTTGACCGCTATCGAATGTAATTGAACGATGTTTTTCCCTGACATCTGTATGTAAGAATAGAATAAAGGACTCTTTTTTCCCCAAAAAAATTATAAAACTGACTTAAAGTGGATTCAGAAGAGATTTTTTCGGGCCATCTGTATGTATGTACGTATGTATCTCGCATAACTAAAACCGAGTACCCTCAGAACGTTGAAATTTCGTTATATAGGACTGCTATAACATGCAGTTGTGCATATCACTTTTTTGGTTGCAATCGGCCGCACCAAAAGTATATATATATATATTTTCCTGCGGCCGATTGCAACCAAATATATTGTGCATTTTTTGCTTTAAAAATGATTGACTTATGTTGTTCTTATTTTCCGGTCAAGTTTTTTTTGCCTTTAGTTGATCTGCATGCAATAGTTTTAGAATTATCAGCAATTTAAAAGGTGTTTACGTGCGTCTAAGCCTAATAGAGTAGCCATATTTTTTTACATTTTAAATATCAGTGTTCTGCACCTTCAGTGTCTTTTTGCCGAGTGGGACCAAAATAAAACTTTTAGTTTCTAGCACCGAAAAATCTGCCGCCGAATTGCTTGTTTTTTCGAAGAAACTGTAATTTTAATTGTATTTTTTTAATTGTTTTAACTGTATTTGCTGTTTTATGTTTTTCTGTATCTTTCAATTTTTAAAGAAAATATTTTGAGTTTTTTATGTATTTTTGCCTTACGGCGAATTAAGAACTGAGTTTATTGAATGAGAAATATATCTCTAATGAAATTCGTGAAATTCGAGAAAATAAGTTTAAATGAAATGCAGGAAAAATGCGTATAATTCAATATTCCTTACAAGGAACTCGTGTGGTGTACACATCAGCTCTTTTACAAGGAAATTATAAACTGCGAAAAGATACTTCATGAGAGGTGGTATGAAATTCCACTTTGCTTTGAACGGGATTAACATTTCCTACGCAAGAGAAATTTTGCTGAATTTATGTATAGTGAACAACATACAGGTGACAATACGACCTCGCTCAGTTCCGTTCGAATATTGATGGAGAAAACACCCCAGGGAGACAGGCCCAGGATCTATCATCACCCCTGTTCCCCAACCTTCAACCTCTCGAGAGGACGTTCGGCTCGCTATGTATTTAGAGTGCCCCCATGCTTCAAAGACACAATACATTTACAAGCACCCATGCCTTCTCCGCAATTTGACCTGGTCCCTTCGGTATCGCAGTAAGCTCCCCTAATCACTATACCGTCTGGGCGGCCCATAACAGGACTAGAAGAGAAACACGCTAATGTGACAATCAAAATCGTAAAAACAACCTTAAATTTAGCGTAAGTATAATGATATACTTACGCTAAATTTAAGGTTGTTTTTACGATTTGTATAATGATATACTTACGCTAAATACAAGGTTGTTTTTACGATTTTGATCGGCCCATAACAGTTTACAGTATTTAATGATCACCCGTAAATGATACTTGAAGCCCATAATAGTTTTTAATGAAAAAAATGTATTAAAATATAACCCAAAACTTTTCAGTTTTAGTATTTAAGACAATTATATCAAGGGAAATAACATATTAGATTTTGGTAAAATATATATATTGGAAGCGGTACTTTACTTGAAGCTCTGAACAGATTATGGGAGAAAAGTACATTAGGATATAATACAAAACTTCTCATACTTGGTGTTTAAGCACTCATGGTTGAGAGTAACATATTACATTTTGACTTTGTATGATGAACCGGAAGTGGTACTTTACTTGGAATTCTTGGAATACAGATTTTATTGAAAAAATATATAATCGTTATAAGAAGAGTTTAAACTGAAATAATGCAATACATATTAAGGCTATTATATCTAGACATGATGTTTATTTACGTTAAGCCGCAGAAAAGGACGATTTTCAAATCGATCTTTTTATTTGCAGAACTTTAGATTCTTATAATTACGTGTTACGTAATTTCTTATAATCTCCGTGTTAGGGAAAAAACGCATTTATTATTCTCTTGCATTGTTGATGCTGACTATGCATAAGAGCAAACAACAGATTCGAAAACATCGATTCTTTACTTTTTACTGGTACTAGAACGCATAGTAGTTCTCATTCAACTATAATTCAAGAGCTAACGAGCATTGTTAACTAACACCTAAATATCGCGAGGATATAGGAGCAGATCAAAGTGCATTTAGTTTTTCTGACACAATAAAAATAACACAGAAGAAAATTAATTTGTGGTATTCCTTTCCATATATTACAAACCCTTAATATATTGCTAATATATATATTCCTTAATATATTACAAATATATATTCCTTAATATATTACAAATATGTATTCCTTAATATATTACAAACATATATTCCTTAATATATTACAAACCTTTAATTTCCTTTAATTAAAAACCAAGTAAGGTGCTATTCAAACGATGATTCTCAGCTGCTTAATAAAACACAATTTTTAATAAAAAGAAATAAATAGGCAAACATTTGATTATACGTTTTTTAAGAAAGGTTTTTATAGAGTTTTTTTAAACAGATTTTTTACCTAATAAAATATACAAAAATTTTCTATTATAAGATTATTAATCGGAAAGGTAAAAACTGTCAGTCATTACTTCTACATGCAAAGAAGCCTCCAAATGAAAGCCCGAAAAAGGTATGTACTGTTTCTAATGTTCCTAAAGTTAAATCATTGGTAACAAGAGAAAATCCGGCGACGCAGAACTCATTCGCAATGTCTTTAAATATTTTTATAGCAATGATAAATATAATAATAAACCAAGGCTTGCAGCTTAAAAAACATAATGTTCACCAGAATTTACCGAAGCATGTGGCTCAACACAGAACGATGTATAGAACCTTGCATAAAAACTATAATTTTGACACTTGACGAAGCAAGAGTCAAAATTATTTTTGACTCTCGCTTCGTCAAAAGTCAAAAATCAACAAACGGTGTATTTATCATCGAAAACGAAGAAACAAAACGAGATAAAGATTAAATTACCTTTTCGGACTTACCTTTTTGGCGTAAGCAGAAGGAATGGTATATGTGGTATGTATCCAACAATACGTGTTGATGATGGAAGAAGGAATGTCCTGCCCGTGAATGCAGTCAATGGGATCACCTACATATTGCTTAGTAGTCACCACTATGCAGAATGTCAGTAGGCAGAGAACGGTGAACGTGTAGTGCAGGCGGAAGACTTCGTTGTCGATATGAGTCCTCCCAACCTTCACTAGGCTCTTGAGACTTCTTAGAACATCCAACATAGTACGGTCTTAAACTGGGATTGTGCTGCAGTCTGCGTAGTTTGTATAACAAAGAATTCATGTATTTTAAATCTTCTGGTTTAACTTAGTGCAAATGACATAGCATTCTCGGCAATGATGGCAAGGTATAGCTTTCAAATGATTGGCAGAATGCGAATGAATATGTGATTTTAAGTAAGGATGCATTTTGGAAAAGGAATTTCAAAATTCATCAGCTAAAAAGAATGCGTCATGATGTATTTGCAAATGATGGGACCTTCAAACTCTGCTTCGTCAGCATTCATTTAAGAAAATGGTTATTTAAAAAATAAGATCTTGTCTGCAGTACAACACAGACACTGGATGAATGGCATTATTTTTAAAAGATTGGATCTTTTCTTTAAGAACTGCATTTCCGATAAATTTTATATTTCTGTTTCCGTCTATGATTTAGTGTAATATGTTATCATTCAGGATTTTTTATAAAAATGGTGACTAGATCTGAAAAGAAAATGAAAATGTACATCAGTTATATATGAACGGAACAACTTAATGAACAATAATTTAAATTCAAATTGATTCATCTATTTTAATATTTATATAGATAAAGATATAATTCTTCGACTTCGGTCAATAACGTAAGTGAGTGATGATAAATTGGCACATGAAAAGCATAACTTGAGCCTTAACGAATGGCTTCATGAATGAAAAAATCAATGCAGATTTCATAGTATAGTGAATTTATAATTAATTTATTTGCGCATAATCCAAGCTTCTCCTGACACCCAAAATTTTCATAAAATGTGTATTTTATACGATCTTATCAACATACTTCTATATCTGATACCTCGTACAGCTGCAAAGTAAAAATATACCTCTCTTTATTTTGGCTATGCTGTGAAAAAATAATATGAAAGTTAAATCGCAGGGCATGAAGAAAAAAGTAAAAAGGGAAAAAAAACTAACAGTGCAAGCGTTAAAGACTGCTTAAAGAAGTTTCCTCGATAAGTTAAAAATAATGGTTGTTTAGAATAGCTTATATTTACTCCAAGAAGTACTTTTGTATTGATAATTAAGTTTTTTTTTTTTTTTTTTTTTTTGTTTTGTTTTGTAAAAGTTTTTTTTTTTGCGAATTCTACCCCTGTACTAAGTTTTTTTTTTTTTTTTTTTTTTTTTTTTTTTTTTTTTTTTTTTTTTTTTTTTGTTTTTTTTTTTTTTTTTTTTTTTTTTTTTTTTTTTTTTTTTTTTTTTTTTTTTTTTTTTTTTTTTTTTTTTTTTTTTTTTTTTTTTTTTTTTTTTTTTTTTTTTTTTTTTTTTTTTTTTTTTAAGTTTTTTTTTTTTTTTTTTTTTTTTTTTTTTTTTTTTTTTTTTTTTTTCTTTTTTTTTTTTTTTTTTTTTTTTTTTGTTTTTTTTTTTTTTTTTTTTTTTTTTTTTTATTTTTTTTTTTTTTTTTTTTTTTTTTTTTTTTTCCTCTCTCTGTTTTGTTTTTCGGTAAAAGTAACGACTTTGCGAATTCTACCCATGTACTAAGTTAAAGATTTCTATTATTTAACTATTTTAACAGCTAAGAAAAGTCTACCCATATAAAGTTATAAAGTATTTCTCCCGCCTTCGTAGTATAGTGGTCAGCACGTTCGACGCGAATTCGAGAGGTCCGTGGTTCTGAACACCGGCGAAGGCGTTGCTCAATTTTTACATCTCCTTCTTTAAAAAAAAAAAACCCTAATGTCTCTAGAGTGGCGCCCTAACTAAAGGGGTGGTGGATGATCATTTTCCACCCCCAGGATTTGGCAATTGGGCCCCCTAATCCTCGTCTTCCTTTAAAAGGGGGAGTATATAAGGTATTTCTTTCGCCTTCTTAGCACGTCTTCGTAGTGTAGCGGTCAATACGCTGGGCGCGTATTCCAGAGGTCCGTGGTTCGATTTCCGGCGAAGGCGTTGCTCATTTTTCACTTCTTCATGTTTCAAAAATAACCTAATGACTCTACAGTGGCGCCCGAACTAAAAGGTGGTGAATGACGATTTTCCACCACCAGGATTTGGAGATTGGCTCCCCTAAAACCCCATTCGCCCTTTAAAATGGAGAGTATATAAGGTATTTCTCCCGCCTTCTTAGCATGCCTTCGTAGTGCAGTGGTCAGCATACTCGACGCGAATTCGAGAGGCCCGTGGTTCAAGTCCCGGCCAGCGCACTGCTCATTTTCCATCTTTCCTGCTTCGAAATAATCTAATAGCTCTACAAAGTAAAAGATACTTGTTGTTTACTTTGGTTGTTGTAATTTAAATATATTGTTGTGTGTGTACACATTATTGACGATAGCTTGATAAAATTTATTTTACCAAAAGAAATACTTCACAGTTCTGAAACTTTCCACAGAAATACTCGTACAGTTCTTCATACTCGTGCTCCGAATTCAGCTCTGAATTAACAACTAAACTGAGAAAGTGATGCCCTCTTCGGTCTTATATAGTTTTCTCTCCAGCCGCCAAGAGATTTCTAGTACTTCTCGAAATCACTGTAAGGTATATGAAGGCTGGATATGGTTATAGTTGCATAGAGATCAATTATATTTATTTAATTATAATATATATTACAATTATACAGGGATCGGTCCAAAATGTCGCCAAATGCTCGCCGAGTTTAATGGCTTTTTGCGATTTCTCGCCAAATTTAGCGATAAAAAATAGTTGGCAAAATCTTTACCAGTTTGGCGATATCTCGCCAAATTAGCAAGGTAGCCATTTATTCGATATTAAATAGGTTTGCCCTTATATTCTTATTTTTCCGGCAGAGCATCGTTTCTCTCAAGCTTTTCATGTTATATTATCCAGAAAAATACAACAATTTCACATATAATTTCGCTAAAATTATCTATTTACGTACAAAATTCGTAACAATATTTTAATAATGTCAGTATAATGTGGTCTTAAATGAAAATTACAGTTTTCCCCCTTAAATAACTAAAATGTAATAATAATTTTTGGATATAAAAACATTAAACAACTTAAGCTTAATTCCCGAATTTAAAGAAAGGAAAAAATTTTATCCTTCATAAGCAAGGATAATTGTCCTTTATAAGTAGGTAATATAATTTATCCTTTATAAGTAAGGAATTCAGGGCTTTGATAGGAAATCCCAAAGCATTACTAGTAATCAATGTAAAGAATGCTTTCGCATAATGCGCCATAAAGCTATAAAGGTTGTAAATTATAATGAAAATACAAAAAGAAGGAAATGTATGGGTAATTCTTAAATGTAACACGCAATCGATACTATTATATAAATATGAGTTCTTGAGCTGTTTCTTTATCTTTTACAATAAATTAATTAGTATAATTAATCCTAACCGTCGTTTAAATGAACTGCTTTAAAAATCTAAATATCTGATTCTTTTTTAATATAATTTCATAGAAATCAAAGATAAACTCTTCGCGTAGCAAACAGCAGTAAATGCATATAAACGGGCTTTTTTATCTTACATGAGTCGTAACCAGCCAAAATATTTTTTTTAAATAAGATAGAAAGACAGCAAAAATAAATATTTGGTAGAAAGATAAAAATGTTTTTAGTATATAAACTCTCTAAATAGCCATTTCTTTCAAAATTGATGGTTTGGTTTGTGTAATTATGGCAAAGCGTCGAGGGCTATCTGCCCAATGGAAGGGATGCCTTCGTGAAGGACTTTCTAAGGGAAACTGGTTCGTATACACGTTACACATGGGGAAAACCACGAAAACGCCCAGGCAGCTAGAACGTTCGTGTGAGTCGAACCTCGAACCGAACTACCAGTGGTCAGCGACTTTACCGCTCGGCCGCTAGTGGGCTCTTTTTACAAACTTGAAAATTTAATATCTTCAAAATAGAGGAAATCCGATATTTCGTGCCCATTTGCAGTTTCGATTCAAACTGGTGAAAGGAAAAATAAATTCATAGCTAAAGTTATTTTAGAGGTATGAAATATTTTTACATCCCTATACTATTTAAATTAAGCAATAATTTGTAATCATTATTTTTTTATTCACTTCAGAAAATAATTTAGTCATTTTATTATTCACGTAAGGTGTGGACAAACGATTGCATTCTGATACTTAATTGAATTTCACCTAATTAAATAAATAAATGGCATTACTATCCTAAATTGTAAAAAAAAGGAATTAAGAATTTAAAAAAGTAAAAAATCTGAAAGGTTTCAAATTTTAAATTACGTCCAAAGGGGCGTTTTTTTAACATTTTGTCTGTTACCTTTGTTTATTAAATATCATGTTCTTTGCACTTAAACCATAAAATTCAGTTCAACAGCAATATCGAAAAATAGTTTTAAAATGGGCATATCTTTAGAATTCCCAATACAGGGACTCGCGCCCTTGAGATAAAAAGGGTTTTTCTGTACAGCGTTTCCGTTGGTCGCTTTGAAATCCTTGTGTTTGTTAATCAAAAACTCTTCAAAGCTTTACAAAATAGGAAATCGGTAATAAAACAAAACAAATTCCAAATTTCAAATTTGGGCTTCCAGATCCCCATATTCGGAGGAGGATTACGTTATTCAAAATTGGATGGCTCTAGGTACCGTTGTTTTATTACAATGCAAGAAACGTAAATACATTTATGCAGATTCTTCATTATTCAATTTCTTCAAATATAATACAAGACAATAATATTTGGTGGCAACAGTTTGAAAAGTGAAATGGACATTCAGATTGATTCGAAGCAAAATCGCAAAACGAAAATAATATTCTCTCAGGGACATAGCCCCTTCGGACTAAAAATTTTCTGCCTTTACAAAGAATGCACTCATTACTTCCACGTGTTCTTGTTAAAATAGTCAAACTATCGAGCCATTCATTTGAAAAATTCTGTAGTTTGTCAATTTGTCTCTTTCATCGATTAATTCTAATAGCTATGATATTTCACTCACATATTTAAAACACCTGTTAATAATGTGCTTGCATAACAGTATGTCAACTAATAATGATAAAACGAAAGAGCTTCTTTAGCTTTTCTCTAATATGAAATCTTATGCTGTGCTAAAAACTCTTTCATGATTTGTTTCAATCCTGAAAATTTCAGTGAACATTTAAATTAATATTCACTTCGAAGGAATTTTTTTCTGTTTATATAACGTTTAAAACTTATAAACCATACCGTGTAGTAAGTATACTTCTCAATATTCTTCGGACCAAATAAAATTTGAAAAATTATTTAAAAATGTCTCGCCCGTTTTCTACAAAAGAGAACCTTCCTGCTCGTTACTTTATCCTTTGAACCGTTAGGCTGATCTTACTACATTTGATTTTAGTTCAACATTACTTATTTAACTTAAGCCAGAAATGTTTGCTTGTGTAAACCGAAGCTGGGTCCTTGTTACTTCTTTATGTTCAAATAAAAGAGTCTTATACACGTTCTGTATCATAAAACTCGAAGATAATTCTTCTATAGTCTTTTTAGAGCTCGTTAGTATATGCTTCCTAAGAATACCAAACTCTATAAGGTAAGTAAAATATAGATTGTAATTATCGATAATTTATTTTTGTTTGCGTTTCATAAAAAGAAATCAAAACAGAATATATAGAATAATATAAAAAATGGAAAGTGTTTAACCGCTAGTCTAATAATAAATTAGCAATAACAGCTTAAATATGTCCTCAAAGCGTCATTATTTAGATTATTTAGGTAACAAGGATGCTGTGTTGTGTATCACGATATACTTTAGATGGCGTATAGAAACTGTTTCACAATTATAATATGTAGAACAGAAATATTTTTATGAAAGAAGTTGCATCCGAACAGAATTTCATAATTTCTTTAAAATTTAAAAAATAATGTCGCAAATGTCACGTCTTTGAGACAAAAGTGCTGCAAATATATGACGTGAGAATTCAAAAAACTGACTCAGCGTATGTTCTAGTTGGTATTAGAAGAAAATTTCGTATTGAGTTAGGGATGTTTTCACAAGGGTGTTTAAAACTGAAAATGTGCCAAAAGGAGAGTGTCTTACTAAGACTAATGCGTTGCCTCTCTTGTTCTATGTATAATATTTAAATAACAGCGTATAGGTAGCATTGCTAAAAGAAACTAACAATAAAGCCCTGTCTGCTGAAGTTAAACAATTAACTTTACGTCAACTTTATAATATTATTAATTATTATATTGATTTTGCTATATTATTAATTTAAAATAGGAAATTTAAACTAATAAAGCTTTTTTCTTACTAAAAGAAATTAGTGGTTTTTGTCTTGACTTACAAATATTTAAGCTATTATATGTTTATGGAATTAATCACTATCATGTAAAATATAGTTTCAAGAAATTAAAAATATAATAAATTTAAAAGGAAATTTTATTTGTAACATCTGATATTGTTATAATTAGTTGCAAGCTATATTTTTTACAGTAGTAGATAAAGAATTTTATTATTACGTATATTGTACGTTAGTGGGATCACAGATTTATGCTTGCAACCACAATAGCGCTCATCACTCCGTCACAGATCACAATAAATAAATTTTTGCTTCAGAATTTTAATAAAATGTTGCAGCAGTCACTTAAAAGAGAACTTTTGGCATTAACTAGCAAAATGAAATTTGCTTTGAGAAAAAGTGCTGCATTGTTTTGATTCCACTGATTTAATGCCAACTTCGATCTCAACTTAGAAGATATTATCAGCATTTTATGAAAAATACTTTCATCCCATTTTCCAAATTATAAGAATTAATAGAGGAAGGCAACGCCAAAGCTTACAAGTACTTTTTGGTTTGAAATAAATTTGTGTAGTGTAAGTTTGTTTATTTACAATTATGTATGGCTATCGTTTACGATAATTTATATTTATAAATAGCGCAAATATAAACTTCCTGTAAGGAAAGAAATGTCATTCTTCGCATTACCAGTGTTCATACATGTGCTATGCTATGTAAGCTGTATGAAAGGTTCTATTCTATATAACAATTTGAAAATAAAGATACGTGGTTATAAGATTTGAATCATTATAGTGCGAGAGATATCAAAGATATCAATACCTTTGAAATGTTATTGACAACTTTTTTAAACAAAGGAAGTCAGTTGTAAAAACAGTTCTTAACACGAATAACATAATCGCGTGCAATCAAACCTCGTAGCTGAATATGCGCTTGCAAAATTGGCATGGTGCGAAGACCTACCCTTTCTTAGTTGTCTGTATCAAATTAGGATTTGTCACAGTAAGAAATCAACTAAAGCACCCCGACACTCACCTTCTATCCTTGTTGGTGTCTTGTCATTCACAACGAACAGACTTGCATCCGTCATACCGGAAGAAAACGGATGCGAGAGTCTTGGCGAAGGTACATCAGCCCAATATACCTTTTCCTCGACATCTGTGAAAAGATCCTCTTTGGTTCATCTTTTGGGGGCAAGTGGAAAGGAACGAGAGGATGATGGGATATATTTTTAGCATTCGCTACCATGTAGCTCCCGAGCTTCTTCTCCCACCCTCGCGCTATTTTCAAGAAGGATAGGCCAAGATTGCTTGTCGGGAACTCGGTGTTCCTACAAAGTGCCGATACAGTGCTTGAAAGCGGGAATGCCAAGTGTTCGATTTGGGTGGCGTTCGGCTGCATTATTTTGCTGGAGTCTTGGCTGTGTGAATTCCATATCTCAAGAGGAATGTTGATTGCCATGTTAACTGAGACATACTGACAATGCATCAGTTTTCTGCCTTAAGACGTTTTAAATGACGTTTTATATTTAACTGTTATACTGATATTGATTTTATGTTTAAAACGTATTCTTTATTCCCTCATTTTCTAATTTCTTTCAAAACGTAGAGCATTTTGAGATCAAAACTTACAGCAGGGTCTAATTGATTTCATTCTTATGCTTGAAAAGTTATAAGAAGTTTCTAACTGAAAAGATAAGAGCTTTTGATTTTCATTAAATTGGAAAAATAAAAGTCACTGAATTCTTTTCCTAGACAGAAATATATTTAATATCTTTTAAACTGTTCTAATTTAAAATATGAAAAGGATTTCAAGAATTAGACACAGATTTTATTTGAAAATTTAAGAGGAATTAGTTAACTAGGAGTGTCGCCTATAGAATGTAAAGCTTCTGAATGAAGTATTTCACTTTAATTCTCAGTTTTAACGTAATTTTAATAACAGTTTAAAATTCTATTTAACATTCTAGTATATATACACACCGCAATTTACGATTCTGTGGCTAAAATCCACTTCCTCAATTAGTATCAATACATCTTAAATTGTGTCCTTCTTCATTGCCCCCATGGCAACCTATATTGAGCCTTGAACTTCTTAATCAATATATTTCGTCTTACCATATCCCCACTAATGGTTCTTCAATTCGCAGTATTGAAAATATTAAATCTTTTATCAGCACATCCAATCCTTTTGATCGCGCAGAATTTCATATGTACCTTCGCTTGACCATACGGATTCATATGGAACTTTCTTTGTTATGTTCCATTTATTCAGGTACCACCAAATTCGTTTGTTAAGGCCTCTTTTTCGAATATTCCCAAAGCGTTTTCATTTCTTGAGAGTAGTACCCAGTTTTCAAAGACGGAATAATCGAAAAATATAATCCATTTAGATTTTTGTTCTGAAGTAACTTACTTCTTCGTTTAACTAAACCTAATTTCAAGAATTTAGGCAATCCAAAAAACAGCAATTAGCTTCGGTGTTTCTACTCTAAGTTTCTGATCTTCAACCATTTCTGATTTTATGTTCATGAATCTAAATAAGATAAACAGAGTCACCTTTTCAGTTTTGAGTGGGTCAGTTTCCCATGAGATAGACTTAATCGTATATGAGATACACTTAATTTTGTTTTAATTTACGTCTACGTCATTTCTTTTGTTTCGCTGTTCAGAGCCAAGATATCTTGTTTTAGTGCTGCAAGCTTTTCTATTTATGAATTATACACACTCTAGATGGGAAACTTTATTAAATTGCTACTTCTGTCATTAGAGTAGTTAATTAAAATTAGCTATCATGGCAATTAGCTCTAAAAAATCGACGGGCGAAACGTACGAGATATGTACTCTTGCTGAGGAGAATGCAGAAATTAGCATATGAAAAACATATATAATTAGGTACACTAATGTTTATGTATTCTGTATTTCAAAGAAATCAGATAAAATTATTAACTTTAATAATATTCTTTTTACTTGCATTAAGTACTTTCCTAACTCCCTGATTTTACATCATTACCATAACCATAAGTATCTAAATCGTATGCTGACGAAGTTAAGTTGAAGACTACGTGAAGCGAAGAAATACGAGTGAAAACGATAATTATTTATTTTTAGACTGGCATTTTGTAACTTCATTCCTTTCGTAACCTGTATTTTCGAGAACCTTTACGTACTGACAATTAAATTTAAGCAAACTGCTGATTTTTATAGTCATAGAATAAATATAAATAAAACGTGCAGATATATGTGCAAGAGATCCGCAGCTGTACCGTTCGGAATTCTCAGTTCATTACGTATTAATGAAATGATTAAATCGTTCATCATTTTTAATGTTTTAAAGTCTAATGAAATTGGAATAGAAAATTGTTTTGCGTCATTACCACAAAAAGTAGTAATAATGACAACATGATGCATTTACTTTAATAAACAAAGCAAATTCATTTCGCAGAATCTTAATTTCGGTTACCACCTCATAAATGATCCAGAAGACAAAGCTCTGTAACGACAGAAACACGAAAATGGCTGTCGTTTCGTGGAATTCACGATTGCTAGGTATTATGGTTTGCAGAACATGGTGATACTTCAACTGTTACAAGAAAATATTTCTTATTTCGTTTCCGTTAAGAACGGAATATTGTAATCAAAATTTGATGATGGATATCTACCAAATAATTTTCTACGAAAGCTTTTCGAAGGAAAGTAATTGAATACCGCTTCTTTAATTTGTTATTGGTTTGAGATCTTAGTTGTTGTTTTAAAATTTATCTAGCAATAATTTTAGAAGTTTCAGCAGTTGTTTTGTTAATGTGTATTAATTATGATTAAAGCAAAAAAGGTAAGTTTCTCATCGAAGTTGGGGGAGGGAGTGCACCTTAGACGAAAGCATTTCTTCCGTGAAAGAAACTGGTTGTTTTAATTGTATACAATTAATTCATGTAGTATTTGGTTATTAAGTTCATAAGCAATTTAATGCTATAAATTTTGTCGAGTATGTATAATTTCATATTCATTTCGACTAATTAAAGTTTGTAATATAAACAATAATAGTTCTTTAGATTCTTCTCTTTTCTTCCAGTTAAAAAAAAAAAAAAAAAAGAGAGAGAGAGAGAGAGAGAAGAAGAAGTAACACAGTTTGTTTAAAATTGCATGATCTTAAATTTCATGCACACAATATAAAATGAAACCGTTAAAACAAAACTTAGAAAAAGGGGGTAGCATTCAATGACAACGTGTAAAAAGGGGATTCGAATTAGTGTCTGTACCTTGAAAAAAAGGGGGGAGCTGCATAAGAGGTTTTGTCCTGAGTTCCAGTTTTATGAATTCATTGTCTCCGTTTAAATAAACAATTTTTAGTTGCATGTGACAGTTACTTTCAGCGGCTAAAGGTATATCGTAAAAACATCAGCATAAGTATTCAGTATATTACTATTACATGTGTAGAGCTCATTAGATTTATTGTTCCAAGAAAGATGCAGAAATGTGCAATGCCGTCCCTGAGATTCGAACACCGAACCTCCTGATTGTTAACCGGCTGTGCTACCTAGTTACACCATAAAGGCACATGGAAAGAAGGGAGAAAATACTTTATTACTCCCCCTTTCAAAGAGAGACTGAGGATGAGCGATCCAATCGCTAAATAATGGTAGTCACGAATTATAATCCCCTTCTTTTAAAGTTGTGGCGCCACTCGTAGAGTCATTTAGAATTTTTCAAAGCAAGGAAATCGTAGAAATCTAGAGTGCCTTCTGCCAATGGATTCGAATACTGGATCTCCCGATTGTTAGTCGGACGTACTATCCAGTTACATCACAAAGCCACATTACAAAACCTTATACCTACGTATTTCATCTGAGCATTACAAAACAGCAAAAGTTGATTGAGATGGATTGCAGAATTGTAATAGTTTATTGGATCCTTGGATGTTACGATTGTTGGGAGTTTAGGTAACACTTTTTTTATAATGTAAAGTTTAATTGATTGAATCCATAATAAATATAGGAAATTGAATTCAAGTCATGAAAATAAACTTATTTCACTATTTATTTTTTTCGTAAATTTTTAATAGTCTTGTATTTATTTTTCCATAAGTATTTTGATATTCTTTGCTTTCATTGTAGTACGCACAATTTGAAGAACAAAAAAAGCTAATTATTAGATATGGCGGCTTTTCGAACTCTTCAACGTATTTTTTCAAAATTGTTTCCTCTAAGTAGGATTTCAGTTAAGCGGTATTTCGTTGAACAATGTTCAATTAAGCGTAAGCTTAATATATCGCTTAAAACAGTTACATTTGTTAAGCTTTCGAATGAAAAATTCTGAAAAATACCTTTTACATCAGACAAGCATTAATTTAGGAGCATGGACTTGAAATTCCCGTTGACAGAAATGATCAAATTCGAAATTTTGAACCTCGCAGTTTAATTTTATATAACATTTAAAATCGGTATTTTGCAATCTTCCCCGCCTAAAGAACATTTTTGTGTATTATGTAATCTCCTTGAAATATTTTGTACATGATAAGGATGAATTTATAAATTTTAACCTTTTTTCGTAAAAGGCTTGTATAAAAATTTATATTTCGTGCATTTTTATTAAATATAGTCATAATACTAAGATAATTGCGACCTGAAAGCCTCATTCTTTAAACTGAAATCATGGGCCTGTACTCAGTAAGTAGTTCAAGATATATTTAATTGTGCATACTCCTTGAAAAACCCGGGATATTAATGGTAAATCATCACTAATTTTTTCATCTTCTTTTAAGCTCGCAGGGCCTAATTACAGTCTAGGACTTTAAGGCCCAAGCTTAAAGCCGCCAAATAGCCCATTTCCAGGACCTTTTTTTTCTTTCATAGCAATAAGGAAAGTAGGTAGTGAAGGGCTCCTGAAAGAACATTATGCTAGAGGCTTACCGTTCTTAATTACAGTTTAGGCCCACAAGGCCCAAACTTACATCATCCAAATAGCCCATTCCCGGGATCATTTTTTTTTCCTTCATAACAATAAGGAAAGTAGGTAGAGAGGAGCTCCTGAAAGAACGTTATGCCAGAGGCATACCGTTGCTTAAATACAATTTAGACACACAAGGCTCAAGCTTAGAGCCTCCAAATAGCCTATACCCAGGATCATTTTTTTTCTTCATGGCAATAAGAAAAGTAGGTACTGAGGAGCTCCTGAAAGAATGTTATGCCAAAGGCCACGCGCTGTAGCATCGGGCCCTGGAAACTTTTTCATGCAGGTAAAATACCCTCACCTGCTGAACTTTCTTTTATACATTTTTTTCGTATTATTATTATTATTATTTCTGTTTTGTCTTTTTATAAAAAATCAGTTGCATTCATTTATTTTTTATTTCTTGGCTGATCTTTGCAAATTTCTCAGTAGGGAGCTCGTGTGAGTTTCTGTCTTGAATTTTCCCTTTCTTTCAATGAAAAGACTGGTATTTATAAAAAATGAGCTCCAGCTGTTGTCTAAGTTTTTACTTTCTGGTTTTGTACGGCAAAATTTTAAATAATTGATTTGTTTATTCATTTACGTGTTGAACAATTTTATTTAACTCATTTTTTAATTTGTTTGCCGTTTTTCCTGCTTTTTTACTCAAAATTAAAATTTTAATCTAGCAGTCCTCTTCTCGAACTATATTGGAAGGAAAATGTACAGGAATTCTGTATCAAATGGCGACTGTATTTTTCTAAAAAGTAAGAAGACGTAATTTATAATTTAATTTTTTACATTCACAGTTTCGAATATCAGATATACATCAGTTGTAACTATTTTTATCGTTAGGAACCGTTATTGCCTATCAAATAACTTATGATAAATCTAAAATCTCGTTCAACACCTAATTTCAATAAAAATATCATATATATATGCATATGCATACATATGATCTGATTAAAAATATAGAAAAAAACTCATTAAATTCAATGTGACATGTAATCCCTATACGATGAGTCTTCCATATAATTTGCTTATAATTAAATAAATGTAGTACGAACTTTCGTTGAAGATCCTGCTACAAGAATATTTTCATACTAGAAAAGAAGAATAAACACAGAGACATATGCATTTAATTATTGTTACGTCTGGATCATGAAGTCCAAATTCCAAACGGATCTTTCGCCGCAATGCAGAGGTTTCTGGATACATGAATCATAATACCGTCATTGAGATTCAGTTGGTTATCCTTTCATCAATTCCTATTCTTCAGGTGCCGGTATTGCTCTGTGGAAGGTTTTGAGTAAATCAAGGTAAGAATTTCTAAATTTGTTCGGTATTACGGATTTTTGAGAGCTGTATAATTTTCAAATATTTTTTCTTTTCATTATCCGTCGAGAAAAATGTTGTGCACTTGCTGAAGTGAGATAAATATTTGTATAGTTTCATATCTCTTCAGTGATATACTGTAAACAGCATTTCTTTTCTTATAAATGCATATTAGTTATTCATAAAGAAGTAAGAATGCGAACTATTTTGCTTAAGGAGTTTTGCAGTCTTAAGCCGTTATTAAAACGCTCAAAATCATTATTTATTAAAATATAGAAATCGATAATTTGTTAAGGAATAGCCATATTAAGTTTGGATGATTTAAATCAGATACGCCTGAAACTCAGTTAAGGTGTTTCTAACTTTACCTTGTCACCCCGTAAACGCGGATAAATATTCTGCAGTGGAAAGGAAATTAAGATGAGAATATTATTTATCGAACTAATTATGGCAGGACCATTTCCCGATAACCCGTTGTAACTTCTTTCAGCAATTAAATTGTAACTATTTACAGAAATTACAGGAAGGAACATTATCAGGTGATACGTGTAACATTATCAGGTGAAAGAATAAAATTAAAATTCTTCATGAACACACGGAAACTGTATTCTACGCACGTCGCTGTAAGATTTTATTGTTAAGATAGTTACATTTTTCATTGTGGCAGGTAATGTTTCATTTGTGCCAGAAATTTGTAAAGTGATGTAGCACAGTTCGCAAGAAACGGAATTGCAAATGTTCAGTGTAATTTGGCCGTTATTTACAAGAATGGTCACCAGATTTTGATACCTTGCACAACATCGAAAATCTTGCTATATGATGGCGAATAACTTCATTCAGTACGGCCAATATCTGCGTATTTCTTACTTCAAGCTTCTTTATAACCAAATATCACATGGTGTAAAGTCGGGAGACATCGGTGACCATTCGTGTAGAACATCTGAGGACACGGGTATCGTTAAATCCTGATAAGCAAGCAAGTGCTGGGCAGGATTTGGGCAAAGGCTTTCCATCCTGCATGAATGTTACGCTATGGAGCACTTGTTGCTTTTGAAAGTAGGAAATAACGCTGTCCCTTTAAAGCTCTTCATAACGCCCAACTCAGATAGAACCATTCGAATTGTATAGCTGTGGACTTTCTGAAGGGAAAAATAGCGTAAAATGAATTCACGCAATGAACCTGCATCCCACTCTCATCTTTGGCTCGTATAAAGGGGTTTCCATAATCGTAAATGGGTTCTGTCTTTGTGATAGAGCAGGTATGTATATCGTTAGTTCACAAGATGTTTGACAGCCAGGTCTGCATTGTTTTCCTTCTATTGAAAAACCCAATTCTGAAGATTCGTTACGCCTCTGCGAGTAGGTTGGATTTCGTACGGATACATTTTGAGGATGATCCTGATTGAACATTGTCACATAGACACATATGAAATGTGATGTACCCAGCAACTGTTGATAAAGCATTTAAGTATCTTGAGAATAAAATTTTTTCTTGTTAAAAAGCACACGAGCGGTCGAGGCGCAAAGGCGCTGAACATTGGGAGCTCAATTAGGATTCGATTCCAAGCGAACGGCTGGCTGCATGGGCTTTTTCGTGGATGCGTAACGTGGATACGAGACAGTTTCCCTTAAAAAAATCATCCATGAAGTTACCCCTTTCTTTGAGCAGGTAGCCGTAATGTGCTTTGTCGTAATCATACAACCAAATTCTCATTAAAGAAACCCATGACTTTCTGTGCTTTCTGTGAAAACCACACCAGGGTTTTGGAATTACTGTTTTCAGTTACTTTTCGATCACTAGGTATTTACATAAAAGCATGTACAGAAGCGTGACATATAAATGTAACCAAACATGATGATCCTTAAATGGCAAAAGCTTAAAACTGTTTTTCAGCCTGAGTTTAGTTCTAGAACAAAATTTTACATGGGTTTTGGTTTTGTTTTAAAATAAGTAAGTTTGTAGGAAATCGAATTTTAATATAAAGGCATAAAAAAATTCGAATTTTGTTGTTGTTGTTTGTTTAAGAGGACCTGATGCCTTAAAATAAAATGTATTGTCTAATTTTTTCTAAAACAAAAACCGTATTCATTTTAATGTTCTAGAGAGAAGATGATTATTAGATTCTTTAACTTTTGCAGTTTTTATTTTGTAGGACTAAAAATGTTGGAATCTTTTTCACGACTGAAAGCTCACATCATGACCAATCGTCGAAGTACGGAGACCTTCGTTTTCTACCTACACTATCGTGTCACGTTCCTCATTCTGATGGGTTTGTGTGTCCTCATCACTACAAGGCAATTTGTGGAAGCAAAAATCGAGTGCCTATCAAACCGAGAGAGTGAGGTCAGTCACTCGCTTCTGGAAACGTACTGTTGGTCATCTTCAACATATTCGGTAACTTCGGCTTATTTAAAAGAGGTAAGATGTATTATTATTGTTTGGTACTATTAGTCTTAGTTACTCTTCTTGTTATTTTTATAAAGAAAACTGTCGTATTTTAATATTGCTGACTTATGGCTGCATGTTAAAAGGCAAAAAGATATGTTGATAAGCAACTGGAATCGACTTTTAAATCCTACCAGGAACCTGACGTTCGTAAAAGTTCGTAACTTGGATACGAGACCGTCATCCATGAAGTTATCCCTTCTTTGAACAGGTAGCCGTAATGTGCTTAGTCGCAATCACGTCAAACAAATTTTTATTAAAAGAACCCACGACTTTCTGTGCTTTCTGTGAAAATCGCACCAGGTTTTTGGAATTACTGTTTTCAGTTACTTTTCGATCACTTTCACACTTCGTATTTGCATAAAAAAATTTACAGAAGCATGTCATACAAATGTAACCAAGCATGATGATCCTTAAATGACAAAAGCTTAGACCTGTTTTCCAGCATGAGTTTAGTTCTAGAACAAAATTTTACTTGGGTTTTGTTTTAAAATAAGTAAATTTGTAGGAAATCGGATTTTAATATAAATTTTAATATATATATATATACAAAAAAAATCAGTAGCAATAAAACGACAGGATTATTGACATACGTTGAAATAACCTATAAAATTTAAGATAGCATGATTAAAATAATATTAAAAAAGTAATATAACATTTAAAAGAAAGCACGCTACATATGTGCTCCTAAAATATTGTTACGAAATGTTCAGCTGCGTTAAGATAGCTTCCCCGCAACGCTGGTTTAGGGTTGCCAGAAAATGAAAACGGAAGGCAAAGTTGCCAGATTTGGCACAAAATCGCTCATCTGGCGAGGTTTGGCGACAAAACTGGCGATATGCCATGAAGAACATTTTAGAATATTTTTATCGGTTTGGCCCAGAATCATCTCGAAGGCAGGCCCAAAAAATTAATTTGTATAAACCCTGCCTGTACGTGGAGTAGCAGTGTATATCGTGAGCTTATCGTGAAGTGTATCTTCGAGTGTATCATCACTGTATTGTGGATAGTACCGAGAGTGCGTTGAGTTCAGTAGTAGTGTCTTGAGCTCCGAGAGCGACCGAACCGAGTCGGGAGGTGTACTTTGCTTTGCCGCGAAGCTTTTTTCACCGTCGTAGCCTGGAGGCTGTGTTGCACATTGTTTCACCGTGTTTATTGTAGTTTTTCGACGACCGTAAGCGTCTCTCTGGAACTGTCCTGTGAAATACTGGCGAATAAATTGTGTTTTGATTCTTCGTCAAGTGTTGTGGTCAATCACTCCAAATTCACGAACCCGTATAACACGGCATATTTCTTTTAGCTGATTGCTTTCGGACAATTCTAACCACGGAATTTAGAATTCCGTTAAGGAAAATTAAATTAAATATGAATTTAGTATTAACATAAATTTAAAATAAAAATGACTTTTGAATAGCATCAACAAAATCCCAAAATTGTTTAATTAAACTAGCTGTATATAAAAAATATTAATTTTAATCCACTATGAACTGATTCATTAGTGGTCGAATACATAAGACTAGTGATTACTGGTAGTTTCCCTGCCTTTAAATCCTAGAGAAAGTGGATAACTGCATGGATGTCTTTATGATTTTCTACATGTACAGACGTAAATGTGAGTCAGTTTTCCTTTGGAAACCCCTTACTTGGGTATCCTTTCCTTAGAATAGGAAGTTTTCGTGTGCTGGTTTCAGGTTACTTTTTTCATCATTATTAGTTCAAAGGAGCTTTGTCCCTGAAGGACTATTGTTTTCGTTTCGCGATTTTGCGTTGAATCACTATAAATGTTTTCAAACTGTTGCTACCAAATATTATCACACTGTATTACATTTAAAGAAATTAAATAATGAAGAATCTGTATGAATATATGTTTTATTTCTCGCAATGTGATAAAACAACGTACCTAGATTCGCCAAAATTCAAATAACGTAATCTTTCATATGGGCATGTGGAAGTCCTAATTTGAATTTGAAATTTGTTTTATTATCGATTTTATATTTTGTAACATTTCAACGAATTTTTGGTTAACAAACTAAACGATTTCAAAGCGAGCAATGGCAACGTTGTACAGAAAAAACATTTTTATCTCCAGCGTGCGAGACTCAGTATCGGAGATTCTAAACCATATGCTCAATTTAAAACTATTTTGCGATATTGTTCTTGAACTGAATTTTATGGTTTAAGGACAAAGAACTTGACATTTAGTAAATAAATGTAAAAGACAAAATGTTTAAAAAAATGTTTGAAAAAAGCCCCTTTTGACGTAATTTAAAATCTGAAACCTTTCAGATTTTTTTTTACTGTTATTGTTGCTATTCATTCTAGGTTTTATAATATTTTGGTCTCCTTAAAGATGACTATTACCTTTCGATTAATTTGATGTATAAGGAATAAAAATACTCAAATGCTATTATAAAATTTATTATGAACTAAGTTTTTTATCTTATCCCCAAAAAAAATCACACCAGCTAGTTTCATCAACTGTCCTTAGAACATTTTAGGAGATCCAAGCTGATCGGCTATTCTTGGATTGTGTTTGTATATTATTCTAGTGGAACAGAAGCGCACATTTTTTTCTTGGTCCTCTAATTTCAATAAATTACTATGAAATAATTACTATGAGTGGTACTTTTTTCAGATTAATTGGAGATTCCATACAATGAAATTAAAATATTGAATTTTATAAGCTGTTAAGAAACATTAGATATTAGAATTTTATAATGTTTAATGTACGAGTAATTTAAATTATATATACATGGATTATTAATAATTTTAGAGGAAATTAGTAATATATAGATAAAAAAGTAGAATTTCAGATTATGCTGTTATTGTTAGTGTTACTTCTATGTAGAGTAATCCTACCAAAGACTAACTGAGTTTAGTATTTTGAATTTGTTGAGATTTTAGAATTTTAAAATCATAAGGGAAAATGAAAAATTTGAATTTGAATTTTTTTTAATCTTTGAATTTTTTATTTATTTTAAAATACCTGGCTTTTAGATCTTAAAACATTACCCATCATACTTCCCAGTATTTTGGGGTGACAGAATGAATCTATTAAGTGTACAGCGCGTGTAAAATGCTGTCCACAGGTCGTATAGGGTCACAATGAGAATACGCTGAAGAATTCCCGAGTCTAATGTAAAAGAGAGAGGACTGAGGCAATTGTGTCTAGCCAAAAGCTGAAATGATGCCACAGCTGTTGCACAAAGAGAATAAAGGATATTATATTATTTGTCCAAGAGACATTGCAAATCCTTTTCCCTAGCTTTTATGCATAAATCTGAATCATGAATCTAAACCTTTCTTTACCAGGACAACTGCATTTTCATTTCAATGTACTCCACAAATGCGCTGGCACCCTCTGTAGTTCTGTTGAGTCGGTATGACTATTTAACAGATGTCTGCACCCATAAATGCATTTGAGAGCTTGAAGGACACATCTAGAGCCCGAGAGTCTTTTAAAGAAAACCATCTTACGACAGCAAAGCTGATGCAAGGCCTTAACGGAATTGCCTCCATTTTACCATCAAAACTGGTTGGTCACCGCCATATTTTACTTTTAACCAACTTTGAATTTGTATCACTTAATAATTTTTCTTAATTTCTATTTCAAATACGCATGCTGCTTTTTAGTGTATTCTCTATATTTGTTAAGATACGTTTGCTAAATTGTCGTTTTATTTAAATTAATATTTTCTTGACATTAATAACTTTAGTTCTTTCTGAGTCGAATTAACCAACGTAAAATCCAATCAATGAGCTTATTAGAGACTTAATACGTCTTAAAATTTATCAAAAAGCTACATTAAAATAATCATTATGTTTATCAAGATTTAATAAAAATAAATGTTAGTCTGTCTCATTTCAAAATCACCTCCAGACAAACAAAACACAGAAGAGAGAGATCTAAAAATTCCAGGATTCTTTGAACGTGTTACTTACATTGAATCCTATTTATTTTATAGGATCATGATCGCCAAATTAAACAATCATAGCTATTTATGAGTGCAATCCATAAAAAAAAGAGAGGCGCAAATAATAAATAAATCAGAATAAAAATCTAGTCTGTTATTTGAGCAAAAAAAGTAGCATTAAATACACTGTAGAACCATTAGGATTTTTTTAAAGCAGGAGACGAGAGAAATGAGCATTGCCGTCGTCAGGACTCGAACCTGGACCTCTTTTATACGCGCCGAGTATCAAACTCCTAACAGATGTAGGGCTAACCATCGACCGAGCAGTAAAGTCGCTGAACACTAGTAGTTCGGTCCGAAGTTCGAATCCCGCGAACGGACTAGCTGCATGGAAGTTTTCGTGGTTTTTCCGATTTGCAACGTGTATACGAGCCAGTTCCCTTAGAAAGTCCTCTATGAAGGCACCCCTTCCCTTAGGCAAATATCCCTCGAGGATTTGCCGTAATCACATAAACCAAACCTAGCAGACGGAGAGTAAATTATCGCTATTCTGAAGTAACAACAGAGTCTTGAAAAGGTTTCAACAATGTTCTTATTAAACCAGAACTTGTATATAAATGCACGTCTCGTGCTTGACCAGGTCAGATACCATTAGTGGCGATATAACTTAAAGTAACAATCAATTTCAAAAGTTAAACGAGTCTAGTAATCAAAGTGTACACAATTGGTTTAAAGTGAAGTTGACTGGAAACTTTTCACTGGCGTAACAGTTTAGTGTGGCAGCAAAAACACAAAGAACTGCGATCTTATCAGAGCTGGCGGAATATAGTAAGATGGCGTCGAGAGACAGAAACATGCTCTGTCTTACAGTTCGAAACATTCGGCTTAAATACTCTGTAACGGAGATTTACATTTCTCGTGATGAAGCGGAAAAGGAGAAGTTATAGTATAGTTAAGATTAAAGCAGAAAAGGAAAAGTTGTAGTAAAGAAGTTATAGTAGACATAATAACTGATTAATCAAAATAGTAAAAACCTTACACACTATAAAAAAATCATTAGTTTGTATTTGTTAGTAGTGATCAATACTCTGTGCTGGTTATACATCTTGATTTTAATTTAAAATTTAGTTTTCGCTGTTGCACAGTGGCGTAGCTAGGCATCTGTCCCCGGGCGCAGCATCCAAGGGGCGACAAATTGATGCTACAAAATTTTTTAATGAAATGTTTTCCATTCTTGGCACACAGAAAGGGGCGCAAATTCTTCAGTTGTCCCCGGGCGCTGGAAACTCTAGCTACGCCACTGCTGTTGCATCAGAAAATTGAGTTAAAAATGTGAATTTTGTTTCATTGCATCAGTATCTTAAAACTTATTATTCAGCTGGAATATTTTTAAAGTTTTGCCCTTGCAAGAAAAAAAAAAGAAAAGAAAGAAAGAGAGAGCATCGTTCAGGTTCAAAGGTTTTCTGTGAAATTGTTGTCAATATAAGATTAAATGTAATGTTAAAGCTGACATGTTTCTTCCCTCTGAAGATAAAATTTCTCCATATATTTCGTGGTTGTTTTGAACCTAGGTTAGTGTATTCAATATAATCCGAGCTTAGTTTCTTAAATGCAAATATTTTCACTAATTTACTGGGAAATGTATTACATTTGATTTCAACAATTACATTTAGTATGGAATGTATGACATTTATTGCAGGTGTGCATCGATACTAGAGATGCGAACCTGGATGCAGGTGAGAGGAAATACTGAGATGCGACTATTGGAATACGTGACTTTTTTTAATGCTATGTGTATAGTCACTATTAGATAATGCTTCTATTAAAACAGTATATAAACATCTGTTTCTAAATATTAAAACTATTTTGACTTATCTTTCGATATTAAATGTCATGTATTATGCAGTTTCCATGCGTGCTTTATTGTGCTGCACTGTATTGTGATGGTGACTTAAACGTTGATCTTTTTCGAGAAAGAAATTTTTGAAGTGTCACAAAACATTATTCTGTATTTTATTAGTAAGCTGAGACATTATTTCTCAATATGAAAGTAGTAAAAGGGAATATACGAAATTAAATTATTTAAAATTAAATTCTGCTCGAAGCATTAGAACTTTGCATCTGCCACAATGGAGTTTCAAATGTATGAATCTTCAGAGTTATTATATTATCTAGCCGAATTACCAACCAAAAAAACCAGTTAAAAAAAACAACTGCAAAATCGGTAGTTTCATCATATAAAACTATAAGCATAAAACCATTGTTAAAAATTAGTTTTTGGTGCAAAAAAATTGGAAATGTTATCAATATTTGAATAGTTATGCTTTTGCCCAGATGTTAAATTTTTGTAAATGTGTTAAAGGAATTTCAGCTCTTAAATAATTTTTCCACTTGTATTTTGTGAGAAATAAAGTCATCTTAAATTTAATGTAATATTAGTTTTTGAATTATCTTAATTTATATATTTCGGAATAAACAATTAAATGCTTTTTCAGTTAATTTAATTAGTATTTTTATAACATTCATCTATTAAAATTTTCTTTTTCAAGACATCTTGTTCCTTCAAAACTGTTTTCTTCTGCAGGTTGGGATAGAATCTCCTCATCCAGGAATCCGAGCATCCGAGAATGAATCTGAGTACGTGTACAGAAACTACTATCAGTATGTTCATTTAGTTCTTTTCATCCAAGGTTTGCTTTTCTATTTGCCACATCTAATCTGGAAAAGCATTGATAGGGATCATATGGACAGCTTTTACATCGTCATCAGTTCTTGTAAGGAACAGTCAAAGCACAAGCCCAGTAGCAGTAGCCTGGAAAAGGAAAAGCCAGGTGATGGTGATTCTGATCCCTTCGATGCAGCTGCAAGTTACATCGAGGAAAGGTGGGGAACGCATACTACATACATATTTAAGTATCTTTTTTGCGAACTTATGGCAGTTATCAATATCATGATACAGTTTTACTTATTAGATGTTTTCTTTCAAGGCGAATTTTTAAGTTTAGGTAGCTTAATTTCTTCCCATTACAAAGCAGAGCGTCTGAAAGATCCTATACGTCTGTTTCCCCTTGTAACCAACTGTTACTTTCGCAGGATTGGAGCTTCTGGACGAATTGACACTGTAGATGCTTATTGTGTATTACCAATCAACGCCCTGAATGTCAAAATCTTTCTGTTCTTGTGGATTTGGTTTCCTGTCATACTCATCCTGTCTTTTGGTAGTCTTATTAATTTCTTTTTTGCTTTTTGTATTCCTAAATACAGACTTTTATCTTTAAAACTGAAATCAATCCTTTTCAGAAGTCACGTTGATACAAAGTCGTATATGAAATTAATAACCACCGGCAATTTTGGTGATTGGTTTATATTGTCTTGCATAAAATGCAATATGGATGAATTGAACTTCTCGCGTCTGATGGAAAATTTAAATACTAAAATTAACACCTTAGAAATAATCATTAAAGAACCTTGAAAATGATTTTACGATTTTGAAATGATTTATTGATTATGAATGGTCTTTATTAGACCATTCTTAATACTTTCAATGTAAAACAGATTATACATTTCAAAACTAAAATTTCTGTTCAAATTTAAATTAAATAATATCATAACTGTAATCTGAAATAAATAAATAAGTAAATAAAACGTTATTGAAGTTTTTAGAAGTTTATACAGGGATTATAACACTTTTTTCCTGTGTATTTCTCTTTTAAACTGAAAAACTGCCATTTCTTTGTGAATTGAGCTGTTTATGTGAGAACGTACTTTCTTTTCAAATAATAAAAAAATCTGTACATGTAGAGATGGAACTTCTGTCATTAATTTTTCGGACTATTATATAGCATTCATTAATATTATTATGTTGTTCTATAACTGAGTCTGCTACATGTTTAAATCGTAAATGAATGTATGGAATAAAAGAGGTAATTCTCGTGATTTCTGTTCATGAAATATATATGAAATTTATTTATTTGATTACAATATGTAATTTATTTTTAATGAATATTATGACTATTTCTTAATAAATTAAACATAAGAAGTAACGCTATATAGAGAAAATCAAAATAATGTAAGCATATGTTGTCTGTAATCAGTAATTCTTATTTTTCATATTTTAGAAGCTTTTATGTATATCTCTGAAAGTATGCATTAAATACGTAAAAATATAAACAATTTTAACTATTGTATAATTGCTTTTTATTACAGTACTTTGATCTTCATATTGTATTAATACAAATATTTTACATAAACAAATAAATTTCCAAAACGTTAGAATAAGTTTCTAAATCAACTTTATGACTGCTGTTTTTACATTCATTATAAAGCATTATTACTGCTTGCTATTATCCATTATTACTGCTGTTTTTACGTCCATTATATTATCCATCCTTTTCCAGTATAAAGCTTTTGTTTTACTGCATAAATTTTTGAAATAGAAATTTATGTTTTCTATATTTTTCTGGAGAAAAATATACAATGTAGTTTTATTTCTGATGATATAAGGGTAATATTTTTTGTCTTAGAAGATATAATAATTATTGCCATTTTTAAAACATCTCTTTTTATGGAAACTTCGGAAGTTCAAAGTAAGAGTAAATAACGTAAGGGAAAAGAAAATAATTTAATGCAGTTAAAGGGTCAAACTGGAAGAGAACACACCAGATAAAATTTGAAATTAGGCAAGAAAGTAACAAGTTTGGCGTAGTTTTGGAATAAAAACTCTATTTATTTCAAGGCCGATGAGATATAGGTCCCTCTAATTTTCGATTTTTTGCAAAAGTATTTTTGCTTTTGAAGAAGACTTTTCATTTAGATTTTTAAAAAAATTGATTTTGCTTTTGAAGAAGACTATCAATTTTGAGGGTGAGACATGATCTCGTTCTCAAAATCGATAGAGTTTTATTCAAAATATACGGCAAACTACTGTAATTTTTTTTTTGTCTAATTTAAAGTAGTTAAAGAATTTAATGCTAAAAATAGTGTTGAAATTGACTGGGGTGTATTAAATGCATAATTCATTTTTCTCTTATTAATTGCATATATTTTCGTACTAAACTCTGTTTTATGTGTATCTTCTTTAGTTATTTCAGTGCTTTCTTGCTTTATTAATAAAATATTTCCTCTATATATAGACTTCGCTTTTTTGTTTTAACTTCTGCTTAACTACTAATTGGTTGAAATGTTTTCATTAAATTAATTTTTCTGCTTTCCTTTGCGTTTGTTTACTAAATTTCTGAAACATTACAGCCAATTAGATATTGGCTACAGAGTTTTCTGATGGTCGTAGTTAATTAACTATTTATTCTTTTCTTGTTTCATTTTTACCTTTCGTTCATATTCTGTTATATTTTGTTTCAGTTAAACAATTCTAACCTGTAGTTTTAAGAAAAATATAAAGCATTAAACATTGATGGTCGAACTCAGGGATTTTTAAACGTATTTTCATGCATACATATTGTATTATTTTTCTCTCACTATCACTAAATAATATATCATCTGTTATGAATTTTTTATATTTTTCGGATTGATTTTGTTCACTGTGAGCTATATTCGTATTAAAGATTAAAGTATTTACTTCATATGCATTCACTTATGTGTTTGTACAGAGGAATAACTATTTTTTTTTTTTTTTTTTTTTTTTTTTTTTTGAGAAGAAGGCAATGTCTCTGTTTATACTATTTTATATGTTTATTAATTCGAATACTTAAAGTAAAAGTTTGTAACTGAAAAATAAAAAAAAATCTAAAATTTATATTTGTTGAATTTGCTTCTTAATGTTTCTTATCAAAAGAACTTTTACAATTTTTTGCATTTCAGAACAATTTAATTAATAAATTTGTTTTATTAAAATAATTTTCCTGAAAGTGAAACTCATATTATCTAAATCCATAGTTTACTTTGAAAAAAAATATTACACAGGCATATTTTTCAAGTTACATTTCCTATGTTTCCTTAATTACCCCAAATTTAGTACCCCCTAAAACTATTTGACTCCGTTCTTAAAAAAGCATCTTTTCGCAGAACCTGAAAGCTTCGAAAATCACTATGTAGACAACAAACAGCAATCCAGTTTCTAAAATTGATTAGAAAAAAATATTTAATTAATTTACATATTCTGTCTTTTTCACTGTTAAATTATTGCATTTAAGAATTCATTATTTCTACTTTCCTTACTTTGCATGAAAACTAATTGGCGCAGCTTTTTTCAAATTTTTATTTTCCTTTTGGCAGAATATGTTATACTCACAAAATGAATATGTAATACTCACAACTCACAAAACTATCTCTTCATTAATAATATTCGATCGTACCTTATTAATAATATGATCTGGCAGAATAATACAATTTTGTAATTAAAAAGATGCCATACCATACATTCATGTGTACAATACATTTTCCTCTTTTTCACAGTATATTTATGTAAAAGACAACATTTAGTCCTTATGTAATAATTTTTAATTATAAAATAATATTTGTACAAAAAGAACGTGTTTTCTAAAATCCAGAAAGACAATGTTTCTCAAACTTTTTAATCTCGAGACCCGCATGCGTATAGCTCCTATTTTTCGTAAGTCTAATGCATGTAATTGTTATTTGTCATAACCTAAGTACATAAAATTGCTCTGGAAAAAAAAAAATCTGGTGTGGACACCACATGACTTCCTTGCACGGCCTATTAAATTATACATATTTTTTACTGCATTTCATTTAAACATATTTCTTAGAATTTCATTAGAGATATAAATCTCATTCAATTAATGCAGTTCTCAATTCGCGGGAAGGCATACATACTCAAAGACATAAAAACTCAAAACATTTTCATTAAAATTGTAAAATACAGAAAAACATGAAATAACAAATACACTTAAAAAACAATTTTAAAAAAAATTTTTACAATTAAAATTAGAAATTGATGATAATTCTACAACTATTGCATGTATATTAACTAAAGGTATAAAAACCTTAACCGAAACATAAGAACAACATAATTCAATCACTTTTAAACGGAAAATGCACATATGAGAATAAAAAAACTGAGCTCACCAAGCCGCGTAACAGAGTGAGTACATATATACATATATTTATATACGTTTGGTACGGCCGACTGCAACTTAAAAGGGCGGTGCACAACTACATGTTATAAGCACTACCATTCACAAATTTTTAGTCTTTTGAGGCTACTCATTTTTGAGTTATGCGAGATATATACATACGTATGTATGTACTTGCAGACGTCACGAAAAAAATCTCTTCTGAATCCATTTTAAATCCGCTTTGGGGGGGGTCCTTTATTCTGTCCGTACGTACAGCTGTCATACAACAACATCGTTGAAATGGATTCAAGAGCAGTCAAAATGGATATTTTTGTTGAAATATGATACCCGAAATTTTTCGCAATTACAATACTTCCTTTACTTCGTATAAAGAAGTAAAAAAGAAGAGATTTATAGAAGAAAATGTAATAATAAATAAATGTGTAATTATTATTATTTAATTGTCAATTACATATAAATGTATTTAGTTGCACACTAAGGAAAAGTGCTTAAAAGACTGTTTTGAGGGAGATAAAGGAATGTGGCGAGAGACAAAAAATCTCCACAACTGTCATTGGTGAGTCTCGACCACATTTTGAAAAATTCTATGGAAAGTTTAGATTCATTACTTTTTCTAATTGCGGAGAAATTAGCTCAAGACTTTGTCTTGCCAAGAGTATATTTATGATACGGTTTCATCAATGATAAAACATACTAATTCCTATCCGTCTTCTTAATATATACCTTCACTTGAACGATAAAAAATAATATTAGAAGCGCACTCCACTTCAGACTTTAAAAAATAACTTGGAAGCGGTTCAAATTTGAGGGAAAGAATTGCGCAATATTTGCTTTCTAATTAGTTTTAAAACTGTTGAATATCTTATGATTGCAAACTACTGAACATTTTCAATGCATCCAAAGAGTATTGCTTTCTATTTCTTTTAACTGTTTACTACAAGTGGCTGTAAGTTTTATAGAGTGATAAGATGAAGCTAGTAACAGTGCAGAAGTTAAGAAATATTTTAATTTCGATCACTTTTATAGTGATGGAAAAAAGGAAGGGTTAACCTTTAACTTTTAAGATATTGTAAGTTAAAGATTACTAACTGATTACTAATTACAATATTTAGTGAAAGCTTAATGATTACAATATTTAATGAAATGATTAATACCCGAGAAATATATTTATATATTTCTTCTCCTTCATTTACTAAAATTCATTATTAAAATTCAAAAAAGTAAATTATTCGTTAGCTAAAAGAGCCAATAAATTTTATGTGATAAAATTCTTTACCCAATTTTAGTTATGGCTGTTGTCAAACTAAAGTGGTAGTACTGCTTTGCGTGAATATTTTGAAGTCACAGTCACGCGAGCGATTGATCATGGCCTTTGAAAATTCGGTCTTTAATCTTTGCTTGTTATATTTGAATGATCGAACCATTAAGCAAAGAATTAGCAAAGAATGTCTTTCTTTTTAGGAAGAGATCGGTAACTTATTCTGCTCGTAATTTATTTAACCATCAGAAAGCTACATAGTTTTCGTCTGAAGAAAAAATATCTGGGCTCGTTTGTAATTACCTACATTGAACCATTGCATTTGTAAATATACTTCTAAGGTTCATGAAATTCGATATTTTACCAAAAGCCTATATTAATCTGCTCTTACTGATATTTTTACATTGTTATCTTTCCTGTCTTTCTGTTATAAATAATGTATAATTTATAGATGAGATTTTCGTAGATTAGTAGGATATTGTTTAATTATGTGTTTAGTCGTCATTAAAAGTTTATTCTACTACAGATTTGAGTGCACATTGCAAATGCTCGTCAGGAAATTAATTCTCTTACTAAATAAATGGCAGCAATATTTTGCATGTAAAAACTATATATCTTTAGTACTATTGTGATTAATCTCTAGTTAAATCCTCTCGATTTTTATTCAAAGATCTTATATTTTATGAATCATTTGTATTCATAAGCAGTAAACTCATAAACAATTAACACCAATATTTCGCCAGTAATGATTAATAACAGTAAATAATTTTTAATCTCATCTTATAATACCTAATACGTGAATTTTTGAAAGAACATGTAATAGTCATACACATCTAGCTACAATGTCATCACAGTTTTGGTACATATTTATGTATAAAGAACAGGCTGTTTGATGCTGAAACTAAAACAGCACAATGGGTTATTTTTTCTTATTTATCTGAATTATAATTTGTAAGCTAATTCTCTTTCTTAGAACCAAATTCTTAAAATATAAAATGCTATCTCATCCTGAGCTACAATATAGAAATAAATAAAGAAAAAGAAATGGAATATCATGCAGTTAATAAATCTCTTAAATTATAATTATAATAATGAAGTCCTTTCAAATCTGCTTTCCTTCTTAGGAAATACTTCCAGTGACTATCTGAAAAAGAAAAAGCATTATAATGATCCACTTTAAAAATTGAGAACTATAAAAATTTTGCAAAGCAGTTACTTGCAAATTTTTATATTATCCTGTTTTATGTAAAGTTATTGTGTCTTTAAAGTGTAACGTTACATAAAGATACATTATAAAATAAATATTTACCGTCATTTTAGAGCTTATAGAGTCATTAGATTATTTTGAAACAGGGGACGTGAAAAATATGCGATGCCCTCGCTGGAACTCGAACCTAGACCTCTCAAAGTGCCCAATGTGCTACCGTTGCATCACAAAGGAATTTTGGAAGGAGGGAGAAAATACCTTATAAGCTTCATTCTTAAATTTAAAAGTTCAATAATTAAAGCAACTGAAGTTTTATATTTCACGGTTTTACACTGCAGATCAGGTTATTCTTTACTATGTATCAAAATTTTCTCCCTCAAAAGCACGAAAATTGAGCACAACTCTTCTTATTTAAAACACCTAAGCTGAGGAATTCATTCCGCAACTGTATAAATCATGTATTCATGTATAATATTAATATGATTATGATGAACTTAATTCATACCAAAATATGACGAATTTTCGTCTGTTAGAAGACTTCAATGTTAAAAGTTTTTAATAACGCCTTAGAAAACATAATTGTAATAGTAGTTTTGATAATTATTTTTAAAGAACAATATATTATGTTAGCTTATGCACAGTAAACAATTAATAATTCCAAATGCAGTCTGGCAGTCCTACTACCTTATTTAAGCTGGTCTCTGAAGAAATAAGTGACAAGTAAGAAATAGGAAGTCACTGTAGGAATCCTTAATATGTCATCTTCCTTGTCTTCTAAAAAAGTATGTGGTATCATTCGTTTTAGTTATTAAAAGCAGAATGTACTTCGACTAAGACAGACATTTCTAGTAAATGAATACATATATTGCTTTCATTCTCCAGAAATGTTACTAAATACGAGTAATGTTGAGAATATTTTGCTAAATAATCCTGGCTTTAATACAAAATTCGAGCTTTCATGTGATCCTCCCATTTAGTAATATTTTCCTTCTTTAAATTTTCGTTATTGAAATATAAATGTTTTATTTCTTTATTTGCAAAATTTGCTAAATTATAAACGAATGCTCACACTGAAAGAGGAACTGCAAATTAAATTTTCTAAAATTGTGATTGATTTAAATAAGCATGTATTTAAAATAATGAGATATCTAATTAAA